TTAGTATTTTGGTGTCTAAAATAAAATAATGGCTATAGATAAAACAATAATACTATATTATCATAACAATTAATATTTAATATTTAAGTGAAATAAATCAAAAATAACAAAAAAGACTCCAGAAACAGGACATGAACCCGGGACTTATTGCTAATAGAGACAATATTCTTCACTAAGCCAGCCAGAGGCGCCGGTAGACACTGGCGATTTTATTTGATAGTGTCCCGAATCCACAGTAGGTGTTTTGAAAAATTAGAATAGAAAACCATGATCGATACCATACTGAAACACCGAATATTCCCGCGCCTATGGGCCCGAGCCCCGAACCTTTTAAGCACATAGCAACGCCTCTGAAGCTATTCAAGAATGTCCTGTCCTGTTCCATGACAGGTATTTATATTTAAATAAATCAGGGGCGATTTAAGATAAACCGCCCCCTTTCCAGAAGTGCTTGTTTTGGGAGATGATTGGAAACACTGCTTGTCAAAAAGAAACGCAAACTTCACCTCATTCTGATAATGGTCACAAAGGTAGCCTGGAAAGTACAAAGAAGCTTTATTAGTCATTCTTGGTCTGCTTTGCTTTAAGAAAACTCCATCCTAAATTAGTAATAAAAAATAAATATATAACAACAATGATAATAATAAAACATAAAGTAATATATAATAAAGTAAACTGGGAAGAAAACAAAAATAAAAGAGATCACAGCATCCAAGAAATTGAAAAGTGGAGTAAAAGATCCATTATCCGATAATTCTTTGTAGAGGTAAAACGTGAGTACCCAGAACAAACAACAACACTTTCACTGGCCGAATATTCTACCCGATCAATGCCCAAACTGGGGGAAAGAAACAGGTCATACATAAAGTTAATAGCTTACTGCACACTCAGATAATGACTTATCAATGATAGATAATTGGCTAAGAAATATGAGATTTTCTTCAAGAATAATATATATCGGTTTAGGCTGGTATCGGCATCGATGATACGGGCTTTGAAAAGTTTATTCAGTATTCGGGAAAAAAAAAGTCTCTAGAAGAGAAACAAGGCTTTTAAGAATGGTACACATACTCTTCCTCTTTTTCTGAATATGTATCCACTGAAAAAAAAGCAGCTTTTGTCTGTTTGTTGTTGTCTGAGTTTGGCGGTCGGATTTAGAGGGCCTTTCAGGTGGTTGAGAAATAGCATTTCATCCGTCGGCTGCTGGTTGTATGACTTGGTCTGCCTCTGAACTTGTGTGTCAGGTCTAGAAAGTGTCTTCAACTGGGATCTGTATGGTCTTTTGGGACGTTAAAGTGGTTAGGTGAGAATTATTCCTCTGGCACGATTTCTCGGCTATGAAATAAAAACAAATGTGAATGAAGTAATAACCGCAATAAAGAATTTTCTCGGTTGTCCGACAGATACTAACTTCATAAATAGGGTAGTCACACCCGTCTTCCTATACGAGATCCTATTAACAGCATGGATTGTCTGTGAGTTTTTGTTTTCGATTTTCTTTGATGTCCTGAGTAGTAGTAGTAATGGATAGAATGATGTTTCCCAAGAAAACGATGAATAGACTGGAACTGCTCACAAGAAGATGGAACTACTCTCGAAGTACAAATTTCATGGGGGAACATAGTTATTCATTATCATTTGGGGATCATGTTTATGTGAGAAGACGTTTTGTTTTCTCAGCGAGGATTCTGGCTTTACATTAGTGCTTCTTAATAGAGTAACAGAAACAAGCCAGAAGTTACAGATACGTTCAATGATTAATGGATTAGTCATATGGTTTCTCTCAGTCTCTGCATAGGCACATGTGCCTTCTGCTTCAAGAGTCCTTACAGTGGTCACTTATAAAACTTCTCACTATGATTATAATCAACATACTAGGTTGTATTAGTACAGATAGAGAATTAATGGGGTGATTTATCACCAACGTGCTAAATATTATAGTGTTACGACAGCGGAAGTCACGCAACGCTGGAAGCATGCACGCTGGAGTTTCTAGAAGGATCATGAATTACCGAGGAACTCCTCGAATATCCTAGTGTTTGCCAGACGCTCTCTTTTTTTTAGTATATAAGCCTGGCGAGAAAAACTAGCGCAAAGTCAGAGATAGATAGATCGGAGATTTCGATAATTGAGTCAAGCGAACAGTAGGCACCGTAAATAAAGTGTGTGAATCGCTGTGAATTATAGCGTGTGTTTATAAAATTAGTTAAGTTAAAGTGACTGTGGAAATTCTGTGTGTTACTAAAAGTTGTATCAAGAAAGAATAAACTAGTTTCAATCAAGACAGGACTTGTTTCGCTGAAGTTCTTCGGAAAGAATTTTTTTCGGAAATTAAAAACAAGCATATACGTAACAATAGAAACCTAATTATCCTTATATATTTAAACTCCGATAGAAAACCACGAACTAGTAATATTATATTAAAAATTGAAGTGAAAAAGCCAATAAACGAAAAAAGGATTTCAGTACTGGAACAAGAACCCGGTACCTCTGGGTAACCAAGCCTGTGTATATGCATGCACATTTACATAAACATACACCCATGCACACACACAAAGTTATAACAAAAATAAATGATTTCATTTCCTCTATCGGAGTGGATGGTACCAACCTGATAATTAAGTTCGTATTTGAGTTTTGTTGTGTCTTCCTTCCGGGATGTGTCATGGTCTTCTATTAAAATGAAAGACTTGCAATCTGCGAGTCATGTAATTTGAAACCAATTGCCTAACATGCTTGCTCTTTCAGTCGTAAGGGTATTATAATGTGATGGTAAATCTCCCTATTTGATGGGAAAATAGCTCAAAAGTTGGTGTTGGGTGGTATTGACTATTACTTTCCCTCTATTCTGTCACTTCAAAATTCTTCTCTGGTGGGTCTGTGGTGAGTTTATGGACTTATAATACTAAAATCTCAGTTTCAATTCCACCTGGTGCACAGAGGGCAGATAGACCACTGTGTAATTGTGCAACAAGACAAAACACTCAAATTTGGGACAACTAGTGCAAATACTCCTCTAGTAGCTTTAAACTCTTCCATTTTCACTGTTGATGAGTGACAAAGGGCCACTATTCTGAGTGGACTAAGTTGTGGTCATGATTGTTGAAATGTTTTGCCATAGGTTTGTGAGGATCACAATTCCGGATGTTACAGATATGTTTAAATACTTGTTCTAACAACATTTTACTTTTTATATAAAAACTGTTCATAATAAAAACAAATAAAGCTGTAAACAAAGTACTTGGATGTTCAGATGAACAACTGTTGGATTGTGTAAGTAGAGCTAGGTTCAAGTACCGAAATACTGATGTTGATGTAACCAAGTGCTTGGATGTAGAGGTGAATAACTGTTGGATTGTGTAAGTGGAGTTGTGTCCAAGTACCAAAGTATTGGTATTGATGTAACCAAGCACTTGGATGTACAGATGAATAACTGTTGGATTGTGTAAGTGTAGTTGTGTCCAAGTACCAAAGTACTGGTGTTAATGTAACCAAGCATTTGGATGTACAGATGAACAACTGTTGGACTGTGTAAGTGGAGTTGTTTACAAGTACCAAAGTATTGGTGTTGATGTAATCAAGCACGTGTATGTACA